TAAAAGGAAGTTGTATATGCTAAGAGTCCAAAACGTGGAGTCAGACATTCTAGTCCCAATTCTGCCATTTTACAAGGGTTGTGGGTTTTTTGTTTTGTTTTGTTCTGTTTTTTGTTTTTCTTTTTTCTTGGAAATGTCGCTTTGTCTCCCTGGGCCTTGGTTTTCTCAATCATAAAATGGCCGTTGTAGAATCCGCCTTTTCTGCCGTACAGAGTTCCTGGAGAATCAAGTAAGAGGGTACATGGCAACGCTTTGTCAGGCATTGGCAAGGAGTGGTCACTGCTGCTATAATGATTTTATTCGTTTTCTTCTAAAACTCAATTTAAAATATTACTTGAGCACTTTTATGGTGTATAAGGCACTGGGCTAGGTGCTTTCTCACAAAATCTAACATTTTGGACAGACCGAAGGGACACACAGGAGAGGAAGGAATCCTACAGTCAAAGCCTGCGGGGGCTAAAAGATCCCCAAAGCCGCAGCGTGAGTGGGAGCAGAGGCCAGGGCGAGAACATTCTGGCTTCCCTCCTTTATTGCTTGAGATCCACTGGTTGGGGAAGGAATGAGATCAGTGGGTATCCAGGAGAAGCCTGGGCCGCCTTTGCCCTCTCCAAGCCTGGTGCATTACCAGGTCTGCCTTGCCCTACACACACACACACACACACAGAGGACACAGTCATGGCACACAGCAGCATGCAAACACACATATACACACACCATATACAATCACACATACTCCACACACACACACACCCCATACACAACAAACACAATCTCATACACACAGGGCTCCAGGAAGATAGGGATTGACTTGAGTTCAGATCCTTACAGAAAGATGTGGCTGATGTCCTGTTGACCGTTAACTATTTGACAAACCTCTTACCGCTCTTTTCAAAGCCTTTTCAATGACACTTTGTGCCATGGAAAAAAATTCCAAAGGGCTAAAAGAGGTAGAGGGATCAGATCCTAGGAAAGCCTTTGAAAATGCTGTGGACCCTGCAAAGGGGAGTGGGTGGGTACCCCTCGCCCTGCCCACAGCACACAGAAGCAAGGCTGCCCCTGGGTCACCACCTAAGTGGATAAGATAAAAAATACGTGTGGGTGCGACACAGATTGGGCAGCTAAGGGCTGAAAACGTGAGAGCCTCCTGCATTGTGACCCCAGAAGCTCTGCCCTAACGTGGCTCTGTCCCTTCCCTCATTCACTTCCTCTCCCCAGAAGGCTTTTCCCACAGAACTTCCCTCTGTTTTCTGCTGCCTTCGCCTGTAGGTCAGTTGAGTTAAAGGGACATAGCCAAGGACGCTCCCGAATGTGTTCACGTTTTGATGTTGTCAAGCTGGAACCAGTGGGGGAAATGATAGCATTTCTAGTTGATTCAGTCGGCTTGTCCTCCCTCCCTGTCCTTCCTTTCTCCTGCCCTTCCTTGTCTCTCTCTCTCTCTCTCTCTTTCTTTTTCATTTGGCAAGTAGTCTTTCCCCCTCTGTGTTCCTAATGGCCCTTGAAACGTAAAGATAACCTGTTGGGAGAGCAGTGTTCCAGCATCTGGTGTCCCTTTAACATGGCTTGCTTGTTTTGGCCTCCTTATTTGCTCCCTAGTGTCATCCAAGATCGGCATGGATGCTACCAGCCCAGCTCTGGAAACCGTGTTTAGCAATCCTTTCTACTCTAGAGCCAAGAGGTGGGCAGGGGTCGGGGAGAGAGAGCTGTGCCCACCTCTGTGTGAAGGCCCATCCAAAGAGCGGCCCCAGTTTTATTTCTCAGCTGTTTCATTTAGTTCAAATTTGGGGAGATGGGTTTTTCCAACTGCCGGTGTGGTCTTTGACTGAAGCAACGTGAAGAAAGAGAGTTGGGGCAGGGAGTTGACCTTGGCCAGTGTGGATGAGACCCACATGTCTCAGGCACCCTGGGGGAGTGTCACTGGGCGGGGGGGGGGGGGGGGGGGGGGGGGGGGGGGGGGTGTCTCTGCAGGGCCGTGAACGAAGGCACAGCAGCCCTCCAGCTCCCTTCTGTGGCCTTTCCTCAGGGCACCTCCAGGGCTGGTCCTGGGACAGTTCACAAGGGGCCAGCGATGGCTAAGGCCAAAAGAGAGGGAGCTGGAGACCCCGTGAGAAGCTGTCCTGTCCTGTTTCGGGAAAACAAGCCCAGGCGGGTGATGGGGAGATAGCTCTATGTGGGCCGGAGTTTGAATCGTCCATTCCTTCCTCTCTCCAGATGAGTGAGAGCGAGACTCTCATCAGTATGGTGAACCGCATGGTGGAAAACTCCTCCCCCAGGGCCCAACTCTTCATGCAAGTAAGGCCTCCGCCTGGTAGCATGGTCCCCGTCAACACCATTTCAGCTGCTTGTGCATGGTCGGGTCAAGCCATCTGGGTTGGGGCTTGCTCTGCCCAACCCTCCATCCACCAGGCCTCATCTCCAGGCCCCGCCTGGCCCCTCTCCTTTCATCCCACCGTGTCTCTCTTGTTCTTCATGTTCATGGGTGGACCCAAGGCCCGTTTCTCAAACCATCAAAATAGCCAGCACCACCATCCCATATCACGCCAGGGATCACGAATCTGCTTTTTAATGCCCAGGACTTCTATCTCGTGTTTGTTATCTTCTTAACAGACGTCTTTGGGGGCAAGGGCATGAGGGGTGTCATATGGAACCATCCGGTGCCAAGGTTGTGTAGAATGTCCGGTGATTTCCAGATGCTTCACCAGGGGTGGGCAGCGTTTGCCGGACCCAGGTGTACTTCTGGGTTAGACACGAGCCCTGTGGCTGGTGTTCAATCTACTAAGATGATAATTCTCAAGTGTTTCCGATGCTCATTCCATTTCCTCATGCCTCACCCTCCAAAACAGCCAAGGGTTAACTGTTGTTGTCATGGTCGTTACCAACAAGCCATCTGGGATCTATGCACCCCCAGAGTCCCTCCCGACAGTAGATCTTGAGCTCAGGGGAGAGGGGAGAGTAGGAGCCGGGCAGAATCAGCCTCAAGAATTGGGGAAAACCTACACAGGGGCCATCCCAGGCTTCCCAGCCGGGGGCAAAGAACTAGCTCAGATTCCCGGCATGGAGGCGGCGAGAAGTGACGGACCACGGTCTCGGACAAGAACGGAGCGAGGGTTGTCCGCGTTCCCGTCCCCACACGCCCTGCCTGTCCCCCGCTGCTGTAACCGGCCTCGTGTTCCTGCAGGTCCCTCCGTACCCAGAAGTGTTCCGGGACGGCCTCCACACCTACAAGTTAAACGAGCAGGATACAGATGTAAGAGCAGCTCTCCTGCTCCCCTGTCCTCTCCGGTCCCTCCCGCTGTCGCCCTCATCTTCGCTCTCCTCCGCTGGGGCTTTTCCTCCGTCCATCTCTGTCCTTCTGCCGGCTCTTCATACCTTTGACTCATGTCCTCTCTCGCCACCAAGACAGCATTCTGCCTGCCCCTTCCTCATCCCCTTTCTTTTCTCGTTCGTACCAATTACCCCTACCTCCCATGCCAGCTGTGTGCGTTTCTCCACTGAGCCCTAGGCCCTCTCGTCTACAGCAGCGGGGGCTGCTTATTACAAGGAACTCAGACTTGTTTAGGAGGGACATCAGCCAGGCTGCTCTGGGCCCAGCCTGGCAGGAGGGCCTCGGTGACTGGAGGGAGGAACCTGGCCCTGGCCTCAGGGAGCTTCAGGGTAGTGTCGCGTGCCACTGAGCAGCAGGTAGTGACATAAGATTTGTGTACTAAATGGGCTCGGTAATGGGTTCCACAGGAGGGCAGGGCAGGGAGGCCAGGGACCAAGCAGGTGGCATGTGAGCCGGGCCTTGAAGTTCAAAGGCCCAGAAGACACGATGTGGCTCAGTAGAAAAGAGCCAGAGAAGTGTTTGAGGAATGGCATGAATAAAGGTGTGGATATGGGGAAAGCATAAGTCTTCCCAGAAGAGAAGTTTGGCCTAACCTGCCTCCTCCCCATCACCACTGGCCTTGCCTGGGTAGCGGGTCCGCCCAGTAGGCCTAGGAGAGTTTCCATCCAGGCGAGGACCAGATCTCAGAAGGATCCCAGCCTCAGCCATCCGGAGACCCTGGAAGGAGGGGAGAACAGGGTCCTGTGAGACTGGGGAGCCAGTTCACTGGTTTTCCCAAGACTGCCTGCTCCTCCAATCCATGCCCGCCGGGAAGGCCTGGGAGGCCCAGGCCACGTTGTCTCCTCAACCCTTCGGGAACCGGAACCCCCAGGAGGAGGGGAATGCAGGGGCTTAACATTTAACTCCTCTCTCAAGCTGACTCCCTTCCTCAGAGAATAAGCACATCTCCCTTCCCGGTAGGTCCTTGGGGAGTCTCCCAAGGTGAAGACCGTCTTCCTATTCCCAGGAGCCTCCAAGGTCAAGGTGAAGAAGGCCTAGGGTTCCTCAGCAAGGGAAAGGAGGAGGTATCCAGAGGCCAGTCCCTTCCAACCAAATTCCCAGGTCCCCATCAAACCATATCCTTCACCCCCTTCTCTCTCCCTCCCTTCCCTCGACCCCCTCGGGGCCCCCCAGAAGCTGCTGGGCAAACTGTGTGAACAGAACAAGGTGGTGAGGGAGCAGGACCGGCTAGTGCAGCAGCTCCGAGCTGAGAAGGTGAGAGCCAAGGGGTGGCCTTGGGTTGGGGGCATGTGGGGACG